CACATTCATAGCAGGTGTAACTGATTCCATATATTTAAAATTATTTGATTTAACAAAATTACAATGTGGTTTATTAATTTGACATGTGGAACATTTCCTCTCCATTTATTATATAAAATTTTTATTAAGTCAACAATCAATCCTTCATCACCAAAAGTGCTTACGAAGTGGTTAGATCCTTCTTATTTATCCATTGGTTATGTGTATTATTAAGGCCTAGCCATTTAACATAAACTTTATTTCCTTTTCTTTTTAATATTTTTTCAACTAAATAGATGTTAGATGGAATTTTAGCTTTTTGCAGTTCTTGTTCATAAAAAGTTCCTTTAATCTCTTCACCTTTCATATCTTTAATATGATAATATGGAGGTATGTTTTTAAAAACTTTATCTATTACAAATATTTCAGTTGACCAATTAGGCGTATATCCTTTTTCAAATATATGCTTTAATTTATTAATTCTTACATAATCATCAACTTTGAATTGCGTCCTACAGACTAAGCCTTTCGGGCGCCTTTCAGGCGCCTTCTCATGCAGTTTACTAGTTTTTTCAAGCGGCTTTTTAAAGGTTTTACCTAAATTAAGTCCTTCGGGAGTAAAAGTGACGTTTAGGGGATGCAGCCCCGATGACCTTGACCTTGACATATATTGTCATCATTCTATTAATTAAAATTGTAGCAATATATATACAAAGTGTTCTAGAAGTATCGCATTTCCTTTCGTAAATTGAACAATATACACATTCAAGAGAACAGAATAAGAAGAAAAATGCGTGACTTGCAGAACGTTTGGTATATATTAATATGTATCTCGCGATTGCTAAAAAAATATAATTTTTAACTATAAGATAACACGGTGCAGGTGCAAAAATGTGCATATAGTTATCAGTTTGTCGTAACGTATATTTATTGTAAATAAAAATTATATGTATATTTATTGTAAATTGTATAATTTACAAAAAATTATTGTAAATTATACAATTTACAATAAATATACTGCGACGACTTTTCCTACCGTCTCGCGGCTGAGCGATAAACGCGGCCGCCGACTCGTTCTCTCCGTCGCGCGGGTGTAAATTGCGCCGACGAACAGGAGCTAATTCGCCGAACGGCAGATGCGGAATGGTCATTGACAAAAACGGGAAAACGGAGAAAAAGATCCACGCCTCTTTTCGTCTTTTCCGGGGCCGTGTCACGCCATCGGGTGCAGGATTGCAGTCCCTCCGTGGGGACCGGATCCGTACGGGCCTGAGTCCTTGCGCGAGGATTTTCTCGCTGTCCCGTGCGTCGCGCATCACGTGTGCGGGTCCTGATCCTATCGTGACGTAGCCAGACGTTAGATGCTTTGAATTCCCGGATTGCTGGCTCCTTGCCCCTCTAAGGTCGTCCTGGATCGCCGATTGTATTTTCCGTAATGTTTCAGCGACTTTCCGCTCGTTCTTCCGATGAGGCTCCCAACTCAAATCATCATACAAAAAGAAATAATAAAGTACGGTTCTCGCAATTATTCGACTGGCGCGGCCCTTTAGCCCGCGCTTTTTGATAGGAGAGGGACTCGGCGGACGCGCGCGAGACGGCAACGTCACACCCCCCACTCCCAAGAGAAACCGTACCGACGCCCATCACCCTCCGCAGCCACTATTCCGAATCTCGAATCGGACGTCGGAAAGCGACCGGAACCTCCAGAGTAAAGGCCAAAGCACAAAGCGGACAATTCACAACACATTCGAGACAACAAGATTAACGCGCCAATTCATCGACGACATCCAGCCACTCCGCGCATTCCTGGATGAATGCCCGGAAGCTCATCTTCCGGCTGTGTCGCGATAATATTTACTCGACCTACGGAGTAGATGCGACAATATAGGGCTTCAAATCTTTGACATGAATTTTTCCGATCGCTCTATCTTTCTGGTCCGCGATCTCGTATACGACAGGTGATAAGACCTTCGCGATCTTAAACGGACCGTGGAACTTCGTGGCGAGTTTCGCTGAGATGGCATGCGCTGCGGATGACAATACATGCTGTCGCTTCAGCACTTGATCGCCGACGACAAAACGCCTATCGCGCCTACGCAAATTATAATATCGCGATTGTCTTTGATGAGCGGCTTCTAAATTTTCTACCACCCAGTCTCGCAACGCTTGGATTCGCTCCATTCGCTCTTTCCATTTCGCGGTCGCGGTTTCCTCGATTTCGATCTCGGGCTCCGGCCCCTCTCGCTTGGAGCTTACTGACGGCGGTTCTCTACCAAAATTTAGAAAGGCGGGCGTAGCCTGCAAGGACGTATGATACGCAGTGTTGTATGCGAATCGAAATTTCGACAAATGTAAATCCCAATCTCGATGATCTTGCTCTATAAACGCCGTAATCATTGTTTTCAGTATGCGGTTCACTCGCTCTACGGGATTCGCTTGAGGGTATTACGGCAGTACTGTTACGTGCGCGATACCATGCTACGCGAATCGAAATTCCGACAAATGTAAATCCCAATCTCGATGATCTTGCTCGAGAAACGCCGTAATCATTGTTTTCAGTACGCGGTTCACTCGCTCTACGGGATTTGCTTGGAGATAATACGGCGGTACTGTTACGTGTGCGATACCATGCTCTTCCGCGAAAGCTTTTACTTCTCGATTGATAAATTCTGTCCCGTTATCGGTCAAAATTACGCGAGGTGCTCCCCATCGATTAATAATCAAATCGTCGATAGCCTCTCAGATCTTTTTACCATTGGCCTTTCGGAGCGGGCAACATTCGACCCATTTTGTAAATAGATCCTGCAAAACCAGAAGATACGCGAATCCACTCCGAGAGGCGGGAAAAGAGCCCATAATATCCGCGGCTACCACTGTCTACGGCGTTTCGACCTTTCTCCGCCCCATTAAGCCAGCGGGTACGTTCTGTTCGACTTTAGTTCGTTGGCAAGTATCGCAACGACGGGTATAATTTGCGACTTCCCTAAACATACGCGGCCAATAATATTGTTTCGCGACTCGCTGATACGTTTTCTCGGTGCCTAAATGACCTGCCTGAGGGATATCATGGCTCGCTCAAATGACGTCAAGACGCGAATTTTTCGGAAGCACACGCTTCCATTGCTCCAAATCGTCTACTATCTGTGTTACAACCGGGTTCGGTTTCCGGAAATACAGCTGATCGTTCTTGATTCTCCATCCCGGATATTTTCGTGGCTCAGTTTCGACATTTCGCACGCGGGTATCGTACCATTCGTCGCCCGTAATCGCGACGGCACACAATTCCTCGGCGGACTCATACATTCGCGATAACGCATCGGGAACATGGTGTAGCGCTCCTTTGCGGTGTTCGATTACGTAATCGTATTCTAATAACTCGAGAGCCCATCTCGCTAACCGACCTGTCGGATTTTTTAAATTATGCAACCATCTCAAACAGCTATGGTCGGTAATGACTCAAAACTTATAGCCTTCTAAATAGGGTCTGAATTTTCGAATCGCCCACACGACTGCTAGACATTCCTGTTCGGTCGTAGAATATTTCTTTTCCGCCTCCGACAATGCGCGGCTTGCAAATGCGATAACGTGTTCAACGCCTTCCGATTCTTGAGTTAATACGGCGCCTAAACCGACCGAACTCGCGTCTGTTTGAAGGACGAACGGTAACTCGAATTTTGGACACGATAACGTAGGTGGTGAAGTAATGCACGCTTTTACCGCCTCGAATGCCAATTTTTGGTCATCCCCCCACTCCCAAGAGTAATTCTTCCGGAGGAGGCGCGTTAACGGTTCTAATTTCGTTGCACATTGCGGTATGAATCTCCTGTACCACGACGCCATGCCGATAAAACGTCGTAGTTGCTTAATATTCTTCGGCGGCGGGTACTCGACAATCGGCTCGGTTTTATCGGGATCGACCTTCAACCCCTCTTGTTGTACTAAGAACCCAAGATATTTAACTTGAGATCGACAAAATTTGCTCTTTTCGGGATTAATAGTTAGACCGGCTTCTTTTATTCTATCTAACACGCGCTTCAACCAAACGAGATGTTCTTCAAACGTTCGAGTCACGACAACAATATCGTCTAAATATGCAAAAGCATGCGGTTCCATTTCGGGTCCTATCAAGCGGTCAAGCAGACGTTGAAAAGTTGCCGGTGCTCCCGTGAGACCAAACGGCATTCTCGTGAAATGAAACAACCCTTTGCCCGGTACCGTAAACGCGGTAAGCTCGCGACTATTTTGTTCTAACGGAACTTGGAAGTAGGCTTGACTGAGATCGATAGTCGAAATGTATCGGGCGGCTCGCAATTTATCTAAGATCGCGTTCATGTAAGGCAGTGGATACGCGTCCTTTTTCGATACACTATTCAATCTACGAAAATCGAGACAAAAACGATACGTGCCATTCGATTTCTTAACCATCACGACCGGGCTAGACCATTCGCTTTTCGATGGTTCTATAATTCCCGCTTCTAACATTTTGTCTACTTTCGCGTAAATTGCTTCCTGAATTTTTGGTGACACCGGGTAGTAACGCTGTTTAATAGGCGCGTAATTTCCGACATCTGTCCGGTGTTGCGTTAAATTCGTCACGCCGGGCTTGTTCGGATTTCCCACGATTTCCGATTCGAGAAAATTTTTCAACCGACGCTCTGCCGTAGCCGATATCTCCACTAATCCGCAACAGATAGGCGAATTTCTGCGCGAGTTACGAGTTCGCGGTCGTCCGCGCTTATTCGCGATTTTCGGCAAATGCGTTCGGTTATCCGCCGTAGGCGGCCGATTCGCCCCCAGCAAGGTACCCTCCGTCTTCATGGCGGCTCTTCTTGTCGGCGCGCCCTCGCTTTCCGAGGCGTTTACGCGGAGCGACGGATCCCCCCGTCCCGCATCGAACTCGTATTCCATAGTCGAGTTTTCCGAAAAATACCACCTCTTTGTCGCGAAATTTACACCAATTCCAAATATCGACAGGAAATCTACTCCGATTATACACGATAATGCCAATGTTGGTAACGCATAGACTTTTAATGATTTTACTCGATGATGGAGCATAATGGGAATTTCGATCTCCCCCTTTATTCGCGTGGTTTGACCCGTAGCCGTTGTTACGCGTTTGCCGTCCGAACTTCTAAACCGCAACTCTAATTCTTTCACCAACTCGACCGTTGATGGTCCGAGAAACGTACGACTCGATCCTGAATCCAATAACGCGAGGACTTCCTTCCCTAATATTCCGACACGTAAAAACAATAACGACGATTCATCACGACAACCAAACGCACTATACGAAAATTCACACTTATTTGACACGACACGAATAGGGGGTTTGTTTAAAATAGGAGTCGGGTTTCCCCCGCGAATCGACTCCTCTACCCGTTTCCCGTACAGTCGGGGCACGTACGTAATGTTACTTCGGCGCGACCGCAACGATAACAATGCTTTCGCGGCGCGGCCTCACAATCTCGCGAGAGATGACCGATGCCATCACAATTCCAACACTTTGCTGTAGAGACGCGCGACGGTCGTGTTCCCGTCGGTGTGGATCTTGTCGATGACGAACTCAAAGCCGTAGATCCCGTCTCCGACGTCGAAGTGTTCGCGGCGCGGTCCCTTCGTCGCTTCTCCTTTCGCGATCCGGCCCCCGAATCCGTGGAGCTAGCGGAGGTATTCAGCGCAGCGATTGTATCGTGCCGATTCGCGTGACGACTAGCATTTCGCGGAGATCGATACGCTAAATCGGGAAATAATGATTTTTCGGGTGTCGGCGGCGCTCGATAGCGGTGCGCTAATTGGTGGCTGCCTTCCACGCGAGTCGCGACGTCCTCCAACGCGTCGAGATCTTCCACCTCGTCCCGGCGCATGGCGATCTGTAAACGCGGCAACAAATTGCGGAACGCGTAGCTAACTTGCTCGGCGTCGCTCCAGGGTGGTGCCAACCGGTCGAACATCGCCCGTAGACATGTGATATAATCCGCCACGGACTCTTGTTCCCCCTGGGTTCGCCTTATTATTTCGTCGCGAAGAGCGAATTGGAAATCGGGGTCCCCGAAGCGCGTACGCCACGCGGATTTAAAAGTCGCCCACGTAGTTAATCGATTGCGTTTACCGCGGAACCAATGTAGCGCGATACCAGACAAAAAGAATGGCAAACAGCGGAGAATGTCCTCATCCGCGACCGGCACTAAATCGCGACCGCGGAACCAATGTAGTGCGATACCGGACAAAAAGAATGGCAAACAGCGGAGAATGTCCTCATTTTCTACCGGCACTAAATCGCGACCTTCCTCAATTCGCATCAAAAACGTCTCGGCATCTTCCCCTCGAGTTCCCGAAAATTTTAAGTTCCATTTCCGCATGACATTATACGCGGTCGTCGCGAAATTTTCCGTTGGCCCGCGCGACGATTGAGGTCCGGCCGAACGCGGAGTACGGGGAGATTGCGACGCTTCCCGCGCCCCTCGATCCGCCATGGGGCTATCCGGACGAACCGGTTCCTCCGGAGGGAACTCCAAATGGTCGTGATCCGACATTTCGTCTTCTCCTTCCGCGAAAGATAATCGAATCCCGGTACGGTCGCCCCGCACGTGACGCAATAAACGAGCGGTTAAAATCGAATAATTTCCTTCGGTTGGAAGTCTTCGCCTATTTAATTCGTCGATAAGTTGTTCGTGATTTAATACGAAAACCCACTCGTCCTCGGGATCTATAATCGAATGTCGCCCCGCACGTGACGCAATAAACGAGCGGTTAAAATCGAATAATTTCCTTCGGTTGGAAGTCTTCGCCTATTTAATTTATTTAATTCTTGTTCGTGATTTAATACGAAAACCCACTCGTCCTCGGGATCTACACGACTCATACGGTCTTCTCGACTTTCCTATTCGAAACGTAAACACACGCGACCGTTACACGACGAAAATAACACAGCGAATACCAAAAGAACAAAAACGATATCTCGAACAAAGAAACAATAATAATACACGAAAATATGAGAGCCTTGTTTTCGAACCTCTCGCAACGGTTAATTTCGAATTTATATTCGAGACGAAATTTAATAATCTTTCCCCAATAAATATTTCCTGTTACTCTCGAAGACCGAAC